AACATGCTGGAAACCGGCTTTACATTGGACAAGCATTTGACCATTAAAACAGCGTGGTTATCCATGTCCATTATAATCATAACCAAAGCATGTTATATTGTTTAATGTTTGTATATGAGCGCCAAACATGCTGGAAATCATCATTTGACCATTAAAACAGCGTGGTTATCCATTTCAAAATATTTGACATCATAACAAAGCATATACATTGTTTAATATTTGTATATGAGCACCAAACATGCTGGAAACTTTACATAGGACAAGCATTTGACCGTTAAAACAGCGTGGTTATCCATGTCAAAATATTTGACATCATAACCAAAGCATGGTTATATTGTTTAATGTTTGTATATGAGCGCCAAACATGCTGGAAATTTTACATAGGACAAGCATTTGACCATTAAAACAGCGTGGTTATCCATTTCAAAATATTTGACATCATAACCAAAGCATAGTTACATTGTTTAATATTTGTATATGAGCACCAAACATGCTGGAAACTTTACATAGGACAAGCATTAGACCAATAAAACAGCGTGGTTATCCATTTCAAAATATTTGACATCATAACCAAAGCATGGTTACATTGTTTAATATTTGTATATGAGCAGCAAACATGCTGGAAACTTTACATAGGACAAGCATTTGACCGTAAAACAGCGTGGTTATCCATTCAAAATATTTGACATCATAAAAAGCATGTTAATTGTTTAATGTTTGTATATGAGCGCCAAACATGCTGGAAACTTACATAGGACAAGCATTTGACCATTAAAACAGAGTGGTTATCCATTTCAAAATATTTGACATTATAACCAAAGCATGGTTATATTGTTCAATGTTTGTATATGAGCACCAAACATGCTGGAAACTTACATAGGACAAGCATTTGACCATAAAACAGCGTGGTTATCCATTTCAAAATATTTGACATCATAACCAAAGCATGGTTATATTGTTCAATTTGTATATGAGCACCAAACATGCTGGAAACTTTACATAGGACAAGCATTTGACCAATAAAACAGCTGGTTATCCATTCAAAATATTTGACATCATAACCAAAGCATGTTATATTGTTTAATGTTTGTATATGAGCACCAAACATGCTGGAAACTTTACATAGGACAAGCATTTGACCATTAAAACAGCGTGGTTATCCATGTCAAAATATTTGACATCATAACCAAAGCATGGTTACATTGTTTAATGTTTGTATATGAGCGCCAAACATGCTGGAAACTTTACATAGGACAAGCATTTGACCATCAAAACAGCGTGGTTATCCATGTCAAAATATTTGACATCATAACCAAAGCATGGTTATATTGTTTAATGTTTGTATATGAGCGCCAAACATGCTGGAAACTTTACATAGGACAAGCATTTGACCATAAAAGCGTGGTTATCCATTCAAAATATTTGATCATAATTAAAGCATGGTTATATTGTTTAATGTTTGTATATGAGCGCCAAACATGCTGGAAACTTTACATCGGACAAGCATTTGACCATAAAACAGCGTGGTTATCCATGTCAAAATTTGACATATCATAAAAGCATGGTTACATTGTTTAATGTTTGTATATGAGCGCCAAACATGCTGGAAATTTACATAGGACAAGCATTAGACCATAAAACAGCGTGGTTATCCATTCAAAATATTTGACATCATAACAAAGCATGGTTACATTGTTTAATGTTTGTATATGAGCGCCAAACATGCTGGAAACTTTACATAGGACAAGCATTTGACCATTAAAAAGCGTGGTTATCCATGTCAAAATATTTGACATCATAACCAAAGCAATGGTTACATTGTTTAATGTTTGTATATGAGCGCCAAACATGCTGGAAACTTACATAGGACAAGCATTTGACCATTAAAACAGCGTGGTTATCCATGTCAAAATATTTGACATCATAACCAAAGCATGGTTATATTGTTTATGTTGTATATGAGCGCCAAACATGCTGCAAACTTTACATAGGACAAGCATTTGACCATTAAAACAGCATGGTTATCCATGTCAAAATATTTGACATCATAACTAAAGCATGATTATATCGTTTATGAGCCAAACATGCTGGAAACTTTACATAGGACAAGCATTTGACCATTAAAAGCATGGTTATCCATGTCAAAATATTTGACATCATAACTAAAGCATGATTATATCGTTTAATGTTTGTATATTAATGCCAAACATGCTGGAAACTTTACATAGGACAAGCATTTGACCATTAAAACAGCGTGGTTATCCATATCAAAATATTTGACATCATAACCAAAGCATGGTTATATTGTTTAATATTTGCATATGAGCCCCAAACATGCTGGAAACTTTACTTTACATAGGACAAGCATTTGACCATTAAAACAGCGTGGTTATCCACGTCAAAATATTTGACATCATAAAGGCAAAGCAAGGTTATATTGTTTGTAATGAACGGCAAACATGCTGGAAACTTTACATAGTATGTATTATTTTCCAATAATCCTTTGAGAGGCATTTGCGGCGATTTCAGAGGCCTATATAGTGGGCACACGACGTCGTTTCGACGTTGATTTATGGTTGAATTTTGGTCGCGACGTCGATCAACCCAATATCGACTTCGTTTCGACGTCGATTTCACGACGTCATATCGACGTCGCAAACTGACGTTGTTTCAACGTTGTTTCCACGTCAGATAAAACTAGATGTTGCTGCGTTTGCCGCATTTAAATTGTATATGAATTCACAACAATATTGGGAAAGTGTTGTGAACATCATATATGCAGTGTAATGATGTGTTTTTGTCAGGTCGTTAAAGCGTCGATATATCAACCTATTCTCGACGTCGTTTTCGCGACGTTTATTCAACGTTGTTTCGACGTTATATAAAAACTTTGTAGTTCCAGCTTGCAAAGATCGCGATGGTAATAATATCATTCCTGATAGATAGTTAGGACGAATGTTGCGATTTTAAGAAGTTAATTTCTATGTAACAGACTATTTAAAACCTTTATTAAATACCTCGGGCCTCCCCGGAGCAACATCGGTCATGCATCGTTGGTAGAGTGCGCGCAGTGCATTTCGGGAAGGTCGAATTGAGCGCGTCCATTTGAAAATTGAAACATGTTGTCGCGAACGGAATATGAAACATTGTAGCTGTATATTTCGGGATATTTTCACAGGATTTTCTCAGTTTAATGGTTGGATATCTTCACATAAATCCAAGAAAGCAGTAAAGGTTAGTGAGAGTCAGTTTTACAGTGTGTATTGCCATGACAAAGGCCATGAATCGCGAGATATCAATACGCGATCGTGACATCGTGATTATATTTTGAAATTTAAACGTTTAAAACATTGCCCAAACTCTTTGATTCTCTTTTAAAAATGGTTCAGCTAAACAAATAACGATACTTGCTCATTAGATTTTGTTAATTTATGTTTCAACGTTGTGTGATCAAGGGTTATTCATTCTAATATGACTTTGTATATACAGTAAGATCGCCATATTTGACGCCAGAACTAATTGCATTTATAATCCAATTCAATCCGCTACTTAGTTTTGATGATTTAGACCCAATTTATGGTTCCGTATGTTAGTCGTGTGTTATTTATGTGTGGAACGTGATTCGATTTAGCTATTTGCTTTGATTTTTTGAAACTTGCGTACTATTATAAGCCCTTTGCTAGATGAATAAACTTATTTTTATTATGCTGCTCCCTTTGCCGGTTGCCTTTCTCAACTGAAGTGTCGACGTGCTACATCATTAAGCTTAGTAAATAACTAGCGAACGGCCTAGCACAGACTTATAACAAATATATGGGGTAAGCGCACACATATAGGGACCACATATGTAGTAAACAATATCATCTCAACTTTTAAGGTTGGCCAAGCAAGTCGCAAATCGCAAGTCGCAAATTGTCATCACAAGTAAATGCCCCTTCTGTTGCTGCGTGTGTAATGATGATGAAAAGATTGTTCAGAATGAAGGGAAAGATAACATACTTAATTGAACACAATATCCAATTCCATAGTGGTCTATAGTGTCCAAAAACTTTCTTTTTATTTTACAATACTCAGAGACTCTTCTCGCACTATTTTGAGGCGAGATTTTAAGAAAACATAATCTGAGATGAAGGAATGCCAGACAATTTTTTGAATCTGATTTCTTAATTTCAAATCAAGTATATTGTAGATTTAAGAAAGGTGATGTAAATTGAATAAAATTTGTTTGAACTATAGAGTCAGTGCAAGTATGTTTTTTATATGCATTTCAAAATCTAGAAAAAAAATTTATGAAAATAAAAAAAAAATCAAAATTTATGAAAATCTTATGCACGGACGTTGTTTTAAAGGCAATAATCTAACGTCGATTCGATTTGCGTTTTCAAATAATTTTCGATGTCGTTTCGACGTTGAAATTTCATAAATTGCAGACGTCAATTCGACGTCGATTTCCCGACGTCGTTTCGACGTCGAATAATCGACGTCGATTCGATTTGCATTTTCGAACCTTTTTCGACGTCGTTTCGACGTCGCTGGGTGACGTTGATTCAACGTTGAATCGACGTTGTTGTGCTCACTGGGTATGTATAGCCCCGTTTACACTACACTCGATTTATTGGCACTGCACGGCTAAGATGGGTACCCGTGCCCATTTCATCCGTGCTCGGCCTTTGTTTTGGTAGCCTGAACACTAATAAAACTGGGCACGGGTACCAATTTTAGCCGTGCCGTGCCATAAAATTGAGTGTAGTGTAAAGGGGGCTTATATTTGAAAATTTTCCCGGACTCTCCTAGCAGGTATGCGGTGCCGAGCCCCAGCAATACGAAAAACGCTCCGCGGTCCCTGGTATTATAACTGGTCGAGTGTTCCCCTGGACAGTTCAAAGAACGCTGGTCTTTAATTCCCCCCAAACCTTAGTTTGGTGTAAGGAAAATAAAGTGCATTAAATTGAGGCTCTGTGGAAAAATATTAATAAAATGGTAATATACACAACACATAGTTAACACACAATTGCTGTGGCTCCGCATCTTGCTTCTTGCATTTCCGGAAGTTCTTCCCAAGCGAAAGAGTCAAATCTGAAACTCTCGACGGACTTTAAAGAGTTTCCACCTTCATCTTGTCCCCCCATGACAATCACTGTGTCACTAACAACTGCGGCCGCACATCTCTGCCTCTTATACTTCATGTCTGGTAACATTTGGCTCTTCTGAGTTTTCACATTGTATATTAATACTTTGTCCAACGGTTTACCGTCACTGTCACTGCCTCCGATTATAATCACATTGTCGCTACCCCACTTCACTGTGGCCATGTTGTCCACAGCATAAGGTAATGGTGCTAAATTATGGCATTCATTGTTGACAATATCATACGACAAAACACTTTTCATATTCGACCACTGCCGCATGTCTTTCCTTCCTCCAAGAATTACGATCGTGTTACCAAACAAGACAGCACCATGTAACCATCTACTTTCTGGCATAGTAGCCAAAACTTTACCGGTATTAGGAGAAACAAGAGAAACCTCAGTAATATTATCAATAAAAGCAGTGTGATTGTAACCGCCAATGACTATTAACCGTCCATCGAAAATGACACTACAATGTCCAAACAATGGCTTGGGTAACTCTACAGGATCATATTTCCAAAATATGAAGGAGTCAGCATAGACTGCTTTCAGCGATAATTTTTCCAATGACTTGTTGGCTTGATCGGAGAAACCTCCACTGACGATGGTTTCATTGTTGTGAGAGACCGAAGATGCTAGATAACGGCGTTGTTTCATTGGTTGTAGTGGTAACCATTCTGCATTTGAGAGACTGAACATTTCTACAGAGTTCAAACTTTTATCATTCCATCCCCCAGCAATGACAATCCTCGGCTCTTCGTCTGGTTGAACAGCTCTTGCAAAGGCTTCCCTAATATCTTCCTGCTCCCCAGTTAACCTTTCCAACTGTTCGGCCACTTCCTTTAAACCTTTCTTCATTTCTTTATTGCCCGCTTCAAAGCGACGATTGCTTTTTTTCTGCTCGTTGACTTGCTTTTGAGTCATTTCAATGTTCGCGGCAACATTTTCTTCTAGCGCTTTGAAGTTCTCAATGCTTCGTTGCTCATTTTGTTTTATGGTCTCACTAACTTTATCCAATTTCAGGCATATCGTGGCCACATTCTCGTTAATACTGTCTATCTTTCGGCTAAGTTCATTGCAGCTATGACATTTCACACGGCGAAATTCACACACGGCCGTTTCATGATGCAATAAATCTTGCTTATCGACTTCCTGACCACAGCCTTCATTCGAGCAGACTGCTGGGCAAAACCACACTCCGCAACATGCCTTTGAAGCTCTCCTAACTGGACAAACCTTTCACAACCATAATTAAAGAATTCACATCGAATCTTTAATTCCGACAGCAAATTGGTTACGGTACGCGATGCTCGAGTCAAGGTGTCAACAGTGAGTGGCTCAATACATGTGGGACATGTCTGAGAGTTCATGAGATGTCTGGTGATGCAACCTCTACAGAACATGTGCTCATTATGTCGACACATGACTGGATCTTTGATGACATTGTAACAAATACCACAGTGAAAGCTCTGACCAACTGGATGTTGGAATCGCTCATCATCATATCCAGTTTCGTACGAAGCCATTTTCTGTTTACATCTGGAAGAATTCACAAAGATTTGAATAACCTAACCTTATTTTTATATTCTTCTTCATAAGACGACAAATTTTTAGGTAAGTAAATTCTTCATCTTTATGGTTATCTACAATCTGGGGCCGTGGGAGATCGTTAATTGGGAGAGGGAGGTATTAATAAATTCAACAGGCCGAAAAACAATCAATTTTAAAAGAAACAAATAATGCTGAACGTCAATAAATTATATGAGTACATGCTCTCTTCTCCACTTCACAATCATCCGCGGCCCCTGCTCCCACGATATATGTTGTTGAGAGTTCTTTTTTCGCTTCCACGAGAAAGCGCCATACGAAATCATGATCGAGGCGAAAACACACGATATTTTAAGAGAAAAGACATTGATGCCAAAACAGCTGCTCTACGTCAACCGTGTCAACAACAGTTTAGTTTGCTTGTGGCGGACAGCGCTGCTTTTAGTGCAAACACTCACGTTAAATGGCATTGTTTGAAAACATCGCGGTGTTTGTTTAGGACCTCAGAAGATGGGATATTTTGATGCTTATTATAACTGACTTGTGTATATGAAAACATAGTTTAGCACTTGATTTGATTTAGCACTTGGTAATGCATGGGGACTCTGCAGTCGTATGATTATTGTTGCAGAACCTATAATGAATCATAGGCGACTTTTTTAGAATACAAATAAATTAGAGCGCTCAGGTTTAACACTCTTTCTCTTTCTCTTACGCTATTCTTTCATTACAACCAACTGAACCAAGCATTTAAGTGAATATTACTGTACACACAACATTATGAAAGGACTTCATAGCAATACTTGTACTTCCTGAGATATACAATATGAAATCAAACTTGATTCTTTACCTTGGTTTTAATTCTTTCAGATAGATCCAGAGTAAACCGAATGTGCAAGTCGCTGTAATTTGAAATATTAATGTGACCAGAAGCCGCAAAATTCAATTTCCGTGCAGTTCGAAAATAGGGACGAGAGTCTAGAATATCTCAATGACTTATCGTTTGTGTTTAGTTTCGCTTTGAGTTGCATAAACTAAGCTGGCCCACCTGGTGTTTCTATTGATGAATATTTAATCAAATATTGCAAAAATTATATGCGAAGAACTATAATGCGGTTACTATCCGTATCAGATTTTAAAATATAAGGTTGTATTTCATAATTCTGTTTAAAACATCCTGTTGTCAGCTGTTAAAACTGTAAACTACATTTTGGGCAGTTAATCGTAGTTAACTCCAAAATTCACAATTCAGTTGCCCAAGCAGCCCCAAAGTAACGTGATACCGTGGAACAAAACAGTCGATTTTTTGTTCAAATAAACCTTTTTAAAAAGCCAATCGATCAAAGTAAGCCCAACAAATTCAGAGGTGGAATATGTGCATGAAATTCAAAAAAATGATTCTCGACTCAATTTTGGTTTAAACCGTTCGTCCGCCCCTCCACAGAATTTTTATGTCGGCTGTACGTCAATAAAATTACGTAGCCAATTCACCGTAAACCTTCTTCTATCAACGCTCACCGTAGAAAAAAGTATTTTAAAAACAGGAACATGTTATAGGTTTAAAGTGGTTTTACTGCATCAATCACAGTATCAATACATTACCGTGCAGGCTTACATATTTTGTCAGAACGTCAAAAGTTCTTTAAATCGATCTGTACTATATTATAGGTCTGAAAACAAAAATGGCCATGCAAACGATATTACATGCTCTTTCCCAAGAAACAGCCGTGCATCTCTATAGCGATTACAAGATGACAATTTCAAATGCTTTTCTATTTCTTAAATTCAACATCTAATTTTACAAATGTATTCATTAAATCATTCGTTGCACTCAACGCTACTCAAAATATACGATTTTCATAGTTTGCACATTAAAATGGCGCGACTACAAGTACAAATACTGGTCGTAATGGCGAAATCGTTCATATATACTATATTATATACGTAACAACCCAAAATTCAGGAGAACTAGTATGGTCCAGGAGAAGGCTTCGGTGTTTTGAAGAAGCTGCCAATTAAACTGCTCCCTGAATATTTTGGGACGCATAACATATAGTTAACATACAACTGCTGTTGCCTGGTATCTTGCTTCTTGCATTTCTGGAAGTTCTTCCCAGGCGAAGGAGTCAAACCTGAAACTTTCTACAGACTTGAGGGTTTCGCCTGTTTCACATTGGCCCCCCATGACTATCACAGTGTCTCTGACAACTGCGGCCATACATCCTTGTCGCTTGTACTTCATGTCTGGTAACATGTGAATCTTTTGGGTTTTAACATTGTACATTAATACTTTGTCCAAAGATTTACCATCGTTGTCAATTCCCCCGATTACAATCACATTATCTTGACCCCACTTGACTGTGGCCATGTCACTCACAGGATAAGGTAATGGTGCTAATTCCTGACATTCATTCTTGACAAAATCATACAGCAAAATGCTTTTCAGATTCGACCAATATTTCCAACCATTTCTTCCACCAAGGATCACAATTTTGCTACCGAACAAGACAACACCGTGTAACCATATTCCCTCTGACATTGTTGCCAAAACTTTACTGCTGTGCTGTGGCACAAGAGAAATATCAGAAATATTACTGGAAAATGAGGTGTAATAGCCACCAATTACTATGAATCGCCCATCAAAAATGATACTGCTGTGTCCGCACAATGGCCCAGGTAACTCTACAGCATGATTTTCCCAAACTATGGACTGGTCTATGCGGACAGCTTTCATCGATAACTTTTTAATCGATTTGATGAAATTACGTTGGGTATAACCTCCACTGACAATGATTTGATTGTTGTAAACGACTGACGAGGCTAATTGAAGCGGTTCCTCGAGCGGTTGTAGTCGTGTCCACAACGCATTCGAGAGACTGAACATTTCCACAGAATTTAGACATCCACCATTCCATCCTCCAGCAACAACAATAATTGGATCTCTGTCTACCTCATCAACTTCAGCAATTGCAACGCTTTTCTTCATATCTTCCTGTTGCTGTGTCAATCTTTTCAATTCTTCCGTCACTTTATTTAAGCCATCCTTTATTTTCAAATTGTCGACTTCGAACTGACGATTGGTTTCTCTCTGACTTGTAAGTTGCTCTTGAACCATCATCTCAACATTTGTGAGCACACTTTTCTCGTTTCTCGCTAACTTTCTCTCATTTCGTTTAACGGTTTCATCAACATCAATCAACTTCACGTTCATTGCGGCCAAATTCAGCTTAACTATCTCCATCTCTTGGCTGATTTTATTACAGTTGTGACATTTTACACGGTGTACCTCTTTACACTCGGCTGTTTCATGATGCAGTAAATCTTGTTTATTCATTTCCAGACCACAGCCTTCATTCGAGCAGACTGCTGGGGCAAAACCACAGTCCGCAACATGCCTTTCAAGATCTCCTAATTCGACAAATCCTTCACATCCACGATTAAAGAACTCACATCGAATTTTTAACTCTGAAAGTAAGTTCGTTACGGTCCTCGATGCTCGAGTCAAGGTGTCAACAGTAAGTGGCTCAATACATGTGGGACATGTCTGAGAGTTCATGAGATGTCTGGTGATGCAACTTCTACAGAACATGTGTTCATTATGTCGACACATGACTGGATCTTTGATGACATTGTAGCAAATACCACAGTGAAAGCTCTGACCAACTGGATGTTGGAATCGCTCATCGTCATACCCACTTTCGTATGAAGCCATATTTTTATCACATCTGAAAGAATTCATAAAAGTTGCAATGATTTCTCTACCCGCCTTTACAAAGAAAGTCGCAAAAGAATATATACCGTGTGTGAACAGCTTTGTTTTCGTGTAATGGCAAAAAGATCTGGCGCATGTTTTGCGGTTTATTTGTATTTCGATGTTTCACTAGTTTTTTTTATTTCTGTTACATCACCCAAAAGGGTCAAAATTGAAACCATTTTGCAGTACTCAGTCGATTATATCTTTTGATTTTCTTTATAAAACTAGGCAAAATTTTGTGATTACGTTTAGTTAAAACACAGATAACTGTGGTTAAAAGTACTGTAAGTTTGACATAAATTTAAACCGAAATAAAGTGTTTTTTTACCAATCAGCAGCGGGCGGAATCCTAGCCTTTCCTGCAATCTGATTGGCTGCAGCAGCGGGCGGAATTTTACGATATCTGACCACGGTCTGGTCTATATTTTATGCACGATAAATTGAAGTGAATTTTAGTAAATTAAAGCAAAGAGGTTTTATGTTTTTGTCGCCACTGCTGAGTCTGACTACACAATTATAATACGACCGAACGCCGCTTCTTGTAAAAAAATAAATACGTTATTTACCGTCTTGTTACCTCGAGAAAATATTTTTCTATCCGAACCCCGCAGCCGGTAGATAA